GGACACGTGACAGGTCCCAGAAGACTACAGGACCATTCATGAAGCGCAGTGCTACTTGCACATGCGCAGTGGGTACCCGGCTATGAAGCAGCAAGCTATCACAGCTGGGTACCCACACTGAAGATGCTGGCCTCCTGGAATCCAGGACGGCCAGTGAAAAGAGCTGCAGGGGACACACCATGGGACCGAGGGACAGGTAAGTGGCTGTTCTTTAAAAGTCAGCAGCTACAGTTTTTGTAGCTGCTGCTTTTTTTTTTTTTTTTTTTTTTATATAGGTCGAGTGGAACTCCGCTTTAAGGTCCTTTCTCCTGCCAAAAAGACCCTGCTACTGGACAACCAATAAGAAGAGCCTATGTCATGCAGGAAGTAATGTAGACACCCAAAAAAGGACCTCATCTCCTACAGAAGAAGAGAGAAGACTCTGACCGACGCACCATGTGACCATGAGTTTATTTAGTTAGGATTTTTTCAACTTCTATAACCCTAGGCCTGCACTTGCAATTGTGGGCTGTAAAAACATACAACTGAACAGTATTTTTGGACTCCCCAACAGCCCCCCCTTAGGGCCGGTTCGCACTATAGAAATGTAGTCCAGATGTGTTTTTGTATGCGCATTCTTTATGCTTTTGACGCGTTTCAGTGCTTTTTTTATGCATTCCAATTCATTTTTTACCCTCTCTTTTTCTTCAATTTAAATAGGAACATGTGCATTCCAATGCATGTTTGGTGCATTCCAGTGTGTTACGGTGTGTTTTACTGCTTTCCAGTACTGTTCTGTGCAGAAAAAATGCAGCATGTTCTACTCATTTTTCTGCAACCGGAACGCACTGGAACTGCAAGCACTGACGTGAACTAGGACATTGACCACCATAAAACCTACTTTCTGTGCGTCGTGGATGCAGAAAAAAAGCAACTGAAACGCATGAACTGGCCCTTAAGCTGCAAAGGCAGCAGATAAAATGCACACATGCCACGTGTGTTGCTTTGGGGTTGATTTACTAAAACTGGAGAGTTTACAAAATCTGGTGCAGCTGTGCATGATAGCCAATCAGATTTTACCTTAACCCCTTGGGGCCAGCACCTCCCGGCCCTTTAAGGGGTTTGCGATGCCAGGAGGCGGGGGTGGGGTTTAGGGTCATATGACCACCGTGATTGGCTGACACGACGGTCACGATTCAAAAGCTACTGACCGCAAGTAGCAATTGCGACCTTTCCCTGAGATGCTTCTTTTGTTTGCATTGGGTAGGGAAATATGTTGGCCCCTCAGAGCCAAGGCCCAGCTTCCGGGAGGCCGCATATTTGCATAAGCTCTGAGCCAAGGGGTTACGATTGTTTATTTAAAGTGCTACTAAACCCAGGACCCTGCATTCACTATATCTGGTCTCCCACAGTTCACCCAACATGGAAATGCCATTATTTTAGCAAATAAAAATTGCTAAATACATTTTCTCTTCACTAGTATCTAGCAGTCTTGTGACTTCCATTAGTGTCTGGCTGAGCACTGGTTAAAGCTTGTAGGAGTAGTTTTCATTCTCCTCTGACTGTCCTATGAGGCTACATGACTTCTAAACCTCTGTCTGGACAGTACTGATTGGCCCTGTGCTGATCACATGCACTCTCCCATAAAAAAAAAACCTCTCTAGAATAAACCCCAAACTGAGCATGTGCAGAGTGCCTTCTAGGGCACTGTACTATCAGCAGATGGATTGGGGAAAGTAGAAGGGGCGAATCAGAAAAGACAGGATCAAGCAGCCTTTTTACACAGCGAGTATACCAAGCATGCTTTACTGCATGTACAGACTGATTTTACTGTTGTGGGTTAAGTAACAACTTAAGCTTTGACAAGTCCTCTTGCTCACTGGACGTTTTTACAGCTGTTGTTTTTGGCTTTGACGTCTTTTTCTACAGCCAGTAAACTCCCCAGCATGTTATCCAATGTGTCCATGCACACAGACTGAAAGCCCCCGGTCACATCAAAGCCGTTTTTGAAATCGTGCGACTTACAGTGAAGTCACATGATTTAAAAATTGGGTGACCTGCCGATTTTAATTGCGATTTGCAAAATGCACTGCAGAAAAGGATCAAACGCAAACTGCATAGGTGTGAACCTAGTCTAAAGGGATGCAGACCCTGCAATTTTCCTCAGTGCCCTCCAGGTGTAGCAGCTGATTTATAATTAATCAATAGCTCCCATACAGATTCACTCTGCACATGGACACAGACAAACATCTACTTCTTCAGAATAACAAAAGGTAGTAATCTGCAACAAAGTTGTATAAATCCTTGCAATGGTGTACGTTTATTAAGCAGAGATAATTTATCTCATTGCAGTTCTCAGGGAAAAATCTTCTCTGTCCCCCTGTTTATGAAGCGGAGAAACATTTGTTCTCAGAAGAAGAAGAGAGAAGTTTTTCCTCTGAGGACAGCTGAGATCTGTGTAGAAGGGGGAGGGGCTGTGATCTCCTGAGATAATTGTGTGATTACAGATTACCTGAGTTTAAACAGTGAAACCAAAGTTAAAAAGACCATTACATGAAAATGATAAGCACTGACCACTGGGATTTTTTTAATGTACATTTTGGCACATTCTTTAAATGTGTATTTTGGCTCTTTTTTTATTGCGCATTTTAGCATTATTTATGTTCATTTTGCCACTTTTTAACATGCTGTATTTTTTTAACATGCATTTTGATGTGGGGTTTTTTTTATATTCATTTTGGCGCTTTTTTAAACACACATTTACCCTAGGTTCACACCTAAGCAATTTCTGCAGCGTTTTGCAGAAACGCGGTACAGTCCATTAAGATGATTTCCTATGGGACACGTTCACACCTGTATGTTTTTCACCTAGTGCATTTTTTGGAAAGGGTCAGGGACTTTTTTGAACACAAAAAGTAGCATTTTTGGTTCTATAAACTTCAATGGAAATCTTGCAGAAAAGCATGTATTACATTTTTCCTGTGTTTTAGCCAGATTTTGATGCGTTTTGCTTTTTTGCCTTTTAAATCTGTCTAGCAACAAGAACAAAAAACCCCCCAAAATGCATCAAAAGCGCGGCAATAGCGTAAGTACAAAAATGCAACGCAAAACACAATGCAGAAACGGCTCATACTCAACCTGCATAGGTGTGAACCTAGCCTTAGACATAGGCTATTTTAACATGCATTTTGGTGTAGTTTATAACACACATTTTGGCACTTTTCTTAACACGTATTTTGGCATTTTTTTAACCACTTGTCTACTGGGCACTTTCACCTCCTTCCTGCCCAGGACAATTTTCAGCTTTCAGCACTGTCACACTTTGAATGACCAACACTGTACCCATATTAAATTTTTATCATTCTTTTGAGACAGATAGAGCTTTTTTTTGGTGGTATTTAATCACCACTGTGTTTTTTATTTCTTGCTAAACAAACCAAAAACAACTGAAAATTTTGAAAACAAAAAAGTTTTTTCTTAGTTTTTGTTATAAAATTTTGTAAATGAAAAATGTTTCGCCTTCACTGATGTGCGCTAATGAGGCTGCAGTGATGGTCACTGATGAGGAGGCACTGGTAGGTGGCACTGATGGGCATTGACAGGCATCACTGGTGGGCATTGACAAACATCACTGATGGGTACTGAAAGGCAGTACTCATATATGGCACTGATAGGCGGCACTGACTGGTACTGATAGTTGGCACTGAAAGGTAGCTTAGATGGGCACTGATATGTGGCATTGATGTGCACTGGTAGGCACTGATATGTGGCAATGATGTGCACTGATGGGAACTGACAGGTGGCATTGATGGGCACTGACAGGTGGCACTGTTGGGGCTACAATGATCATCAGTGCCCTGATGATCAGTGTAGATGTCCCCTCTGAGGAATTCTGATTATCGGCTCTCCTCTCCTGTCAGCATGACAGTTCGTGAGGAGAGGAATGCTGATGCATTTCCTTATTTGCATGCTATCAGCTGTGATTGGTCACAACTGATCACATGACAGAGCATAAATCATTGGCTTTTTCTGCTGATTGGTGATCCGCTGTGTCCCAGGGCCACAGCACACCACCGATTGCCGTGGGGCGCGCACGAGCGGTTAGAGTGGGAGGACGTCATATGACATCCTCCCAGAATGAGAGAACCCCCGTGCTCCTGTCATTTCCTTATATGGTGGGCGGGAGGCGGCTAAAGTGCATTTTGATTTGGTTTTTGTGGATATTTTGGCAAACTGCACACCTGCTAGCCACTTTTGGGTACCATTAACAAATAATGGCACCACAAACATGGCATGCATTTTGCATGCGTTTCCAGAACACACAAAAACTGAGGTAAAAAAGGAGCCAAAACATTAAAAAGCACCAAAATGCACATAATAATTTCATCTCACATTGTTTATAAAATGTACGTTGAAAAAAAAAAGCAGCAAATTGTTAAAAACTTCACCAAAATGTGCATTAAAAGGGCCCCAAAAAGCCAAACTGAACCTTTTTTGGGTATGGAGTGTTGTGTGTTTTTTTCAATACGTATTTTGGTGCATTGATAGAGTATTTGTCAAATGACAAAATGTGTGGCAAAATGCATGTCAACACAATTTTAGCTCAGTTTGGAATTGTGAGCATTGCTCAGGTGTGAGTGTGTTCTAAATGACAATACACTATATATATATATATATATATATATATATATATATATATATATATATACATATATATATACACACATACATATATACATACATACATACACACACACACATACATATATACACACACACACTATATATAAAAACACAAATATACATAAACATATATAGTTATAATTTATATCAATGTTTAACCCTACTGGTGCTGATATTGGGAAGAAAGAAGCCTTCTTCTGCACATCACAGCAGCTTCTCACCAAGATTCTCCAGCTCTGGGCTGGAGAATCTGGGACGGAGATATTTTAAAAAGATGGCCAGTGAGATCTTCAGATCTCACCTTCAAAAACTGGCCATCTCTGTAAAATGAATGACAGAACGGTATGTCCTGTGATCAGGGATGGACTGACAACTCATGGGGCCCCCGGGCAATAGGGGATCATGGGGCCCCTGTGTCCTTGCCCAAACTCCAAAATGCCTATGAAAAAGGCACCAGGGGCATCTCATGGGGCCCCCTACTGACCTCGGGCAGTGCCCAAGTTTCCAAATGGTCAGTCCGCCCCTGCCTGTGATGAGAAGTGAAGAAAATGTTCTCCGCTCCTCAGCTTGATAAACTGGCACGCCTGAGAGATCAGCTGTGATCCTCAGGATCTCAGCTTTTCTTTCTTTCTTAAATGGACACAATGTACATAGATCACCCAGAGGAGAATGCTTTTCTCAACAAAAGTGGACTTCCTCTTTAAGGAGCTTAGAGATGGGGGGTGGGGGGAGAAACAGACACAAAATGGTCTGGTCTTCCTAGTGAATGGCTGTGCAGGGGGGGGGGGTGTTACAGGGCAAGTCTGATCATTGGAAGACAGCAAGCTGAGTTCCAGCACAGATAGAAAACTGACCAAGCTGTGCTCTCCCTGCCTAGTGTGGTCAATTTTATTAGGAAAGAAGAGGGACTGGCAGGAACACCAGGGATTTCACACAAAGGAGGTAATACGAACAGAATACTTTTTCATACAAGTACACGGTACAGCAGGTAACAGAAATATGAAATGTTGGGTTTACATACATGTAGCACTATCCCCTTAGGAGTTGCTGAATTGTTTTTGGGTTTCCTGTTGATCTGGAACTCAATCTGAAAGCCCAAGCTCTGCTGACACCACAGTCCACTCTTAACTGAAGTAAATCACCACCAGAAAGTGAATTCACACACGGATTGAAGTAAACCAGTAAGAGGTTTATAGCAAACTTCAATATGGCTTGGTTACACAGCATAAACAGAATTTAAATGTGTCAAATCAATTGTTACTGGTGTCAATTCAAATTTAAGGAAAAGACAACTCTTATCACAGAATCTCAATTAGTATTAGCAGGCCTGCTTTTCAGAAACTAACCCAATACCTTCAACCTGAGGGGGTCTTACAGTCCCCAGTGAGCAGCTAGGACTATCAAACAAGTAGACAAGCTCACTTTGGGCCCTCAGGAGCCGATGGTAAGGGGGTAGACTGAAGTAAGAAAAAGAGCGCTTTACCCCAAAGCAACCAATGTTCTTTAAAGGCAATGAACAGTCTTCTGCACGCGTGATGGGGCCCAGTTGGTGCACAGTGAAGAGAAATGTGGACTATAACTCTCTGATGAACAGTGTAGTAAAGAGAGGGAAGAGTAACACTCTCCCTGCAAGTAGCAATTTTACAGATGTAATGTTCCTTTAAGGCACTAGTCACTAGCAAATCTAAAGTAACAAGTGGCCAATCTGGTTAAAGTGGTTGTTGGCACAGGGTAACTCTTCTTTGAATTACAAGACTTTTGGCACAATAGGGAAAAGGCCTCCTTAGCAGAGTGAATTGATGATGGTGACACAGCAGTGGTTCGGCCTGTGGACCCACTGTCCTGCTATCAGTTCTGATGATAAGGCTGTGTTAAGTGTAGTCAGGCAAACGCACCTAAAAGGACTAGGCCGCAACTTCTAATAAGTATGTGCAAGGTCCACAACTGTGCGCAGGAAAATAGCAAAGGTGGAGTACAATAAATGTCAGTGCTTCCTGTCCTTCACAATGCTTGGGACTCTCACCCAAGGGATGATGTCTGGTGAATTCTGACGGTCTCTATCTCCTTCGATAAGGCCTCCATACATTCTCCAGTCTCACCTACAGCTTTTTCCATCTGGTCACCTGCTAGCAGATTAGCTCTCTTCACAATGCTGCAAGGTCAGCGATCAGCAGACTCTACTTGTCTCCGCTCTTTCACTCTTTCCACGGCCTGGTCCGTTCCTCTGGCAGTCAGAGCACTCCTGTCTCCACTCTCACTTCCTGCCTCATCTCCCAGGGTTTCATAAATATACACCTCCGCCCACACGCTAGTTCCTCTGGGAAACGTAGTTCTTTACTACACTGTTCCTTAGCAAAGTCCTGCGGTTCAGCATACAAGTTCCATTGGGCTGCTCTACAGAGTGTGAATGCCACTGTTCTGCAAGACACTGCTATCTTGTGTTTGTTTTAACATCCTTGCATCCACTTGTAGCCTAAGCGTTTGGAAGCAGAAGTTATGCTCTGTCCCTCCCTTCTCGCAGTCTTGTGCGACACATGACAGGTCCCAGAAGACTATGGGACCATTCACAAAGCGGACCGATTAGGACTGCCAAAAGAGCATAAAAATGCACTAAAGCCCATGATATGCTAGTGCTCCTCATACGAACAGCATATCATCAATGAAAGGATCTCTGGAAGACCAAAGAAATGACCTACCTGCTTATGTGTTTGTATATATGGTGGTCAGAGAAGACCTCTAAAAGAAGCTTGAAAAAAACTACTGACCTAAGGCTGGCCATACATTATACAACTTTCTTGAGATTTTTTGCTTCAGATTTACCAAAAACCATATAAAAAGAGGTCAAACCTAAATAACACTTTCAATTGTATCCAATTAGACAGGCCCTTGGACTACATAGTTGAAGGTAAATCTAAAGAAAATTGGGCAGAAATGGGACAGAAAATTGTATAGTGTATGGCCAGCCTAAGACCTCCTGGGGTTTCTTTTTCTCTGTGAATTTTAGACCCTATCTTACTTATTCTTACTTATTTAGCATCTAAAGCCTGCATCGATTACCCACAAGGTATAATTCGAATTTCCCTGAAACCCAGCGCCTGTTTTGCTACATATACTCACTTGCCCATTAGAACTTGTAATCACTGTCCTACAGGTAAACCACCACAAAGGAAGCATGCAGTGCAAGAGTTCATAATTTACAAAGCTGTTTTGATGTTTGGTAAAATTTAATCCAACTTTGCATTTATAATTTTTTTTTTAAATATTTTTATTTATATATGGTGATTGTAGCCATATAAATACATTTGTGACAACATCATTGAATACTCTACTTGGTACATTTTTTGTGTACTTACAATTCATCTTTTCACGACAAATTTACGCCCTTCCTCTGGGTCCAAGCTGTACTGATGCTCAGAAGAAAAAATCTGTAATTAAAGGCCGACTCCCTCAGCTGTGTGTATCCTATGAATCCCACATCCACATGGCACTCTACTAACCAACAACAGTGCACTTGGCTTCATCTGTGCACACCAATGTCCAAGCATAAACTCCTTGCACAGAATGAAACAGTCACAACAAAATTTGGCGTTTCAGAGCTACGTGGGGTTCTCTTCATTAAGGGCTCATTCACACCAGAATGCGGTGCAGGAAACCTGTGTTTCCGTGCACATTCCTTGTACTGTGTTGAAAACGCACTGGGTGTGCGATCTGTTGTGGATGTCATCGTATTCTCAATGATACCCCAAATGCAGTGCACAAACACAGTGTATTTGCCTGAACCATATTGCACTAGTACCATGTGGTGCATTTTTTTTAAAAGTAGCGCACTACTTTTGGTGCAATTCAGTGTTATTTCAGCCCATTCAGAACCGCGTTCCTGCACCGCATTCAAAATGCATTGCCCTTGCAATCTGCAGTGAATGTCAGTGACACCCCAAAATGCAGTGCCTTGGCCCACACCAGATCACATGGTATAGAAGTACTATGCGATGCGATTGCAGTGTGTTTGCAAAAGTAGTGCACACTTCATTTGGTGTGGGTGCAGTGTGTTTTTAGCCCGTTCAAAAAGAAGGGGCTGAACACGCACTGCGCAGAACTGCATGTGAATTGCACAGTAACACACAGCCAGGGGCAGACTGACAACTCATGGGCCCCCCGGGCAATAGGGGATCATGGGGCTCCTGTGTCCTCGCCCACACTCAAACCACACTCAAAAAAGCCTATGAAAGTTACCAGGGGCATCTCATGGGGCCCCCTACTGATCCCGGGCCCTCAGGCAGTGCCCAAGTGGTTAGTCCGCCCCTGCACACAGCACATTCCAGGGCGATTCACCTGCAGTTCCCAGTGTGAAGTGGCCCTCAAATGAATGGGCTGAAAATTGCACCACGCTGAATGGCACAGGAATGCGGACTGCATTCCAGTGTGATTCAGGTGTGAACTGGTTCTAAGGCAAGTGATAATCACTGTATGGGATTTAACCACTTGCTGACTGTGCTATAGCTGAATGATAGCTACAGCGTGAGTGTCCAGTTCTGGGATGGTGTCTGCTGATGTCTTCCCAGAACTGCACCTGCTGCGGCGTGCACCCGTCACTCTCTGTGATCGCTGTGTCCTTCAGACACAGCTGACCACAAATCACGGTAAAGGGCCAATCACAGCAGCCTTTTACAACATGATCAGCTGTGTCCAATCACAGCTGATCAAAATGTAAACACACTACGCCGGTTATCGGCAGTACTTTCCTCATGCTGTCACAGTGCGAGGAAAGTACTGCCAATAACCAGCAAGTGTGAAAGGAGATTATTAGTATAGACCCAACAGTGCCGCCTATCAGTGCCAATCAGTGCTACCAGTCAGTGCCGCCTATTAGTGCCCTTCAGTGCTGCTTATCAGTGTCCATCAATGCAGCCTCATCAGCGCACATCATAAAGGAGAAAAAAATACCTGTTTGCAAGATTTTATAATAGAAACTAAGAAAAACTTTTTTTGTCCCCAAAATTTTTGGCCTTTTTTTGTTTGTTTAGCAAAAAATAAAACATCCAGTGGTTATTGATACCACCAAAAGAAAGGTCTATGTGTGTGAAAAAAAAAAAAAAAAAATTGTTCATAGGGGTACAGTGTTGCATGACCACACAACTGTCATTCAAAGAGCGGCAGCGCTGAAAGGTGAAAATTGGCTTGGGCAGGAAGGGGGTACAAGTGTTGGATAGGCAAGTGGATAAAAATAAAACTGAAGGTGAACCTTTCTTTTAAATTTTGGATAGAATAAGGGAGGGTGCCATTAGTGTCCTATTGAGGAGATTTTACTTCACGTTCTGTCCCATAGCCAAAACAAGAAGTGAGGGGAAATGACTCCAATATCAGGGAATCCCTGGTTGTCTCAGGAACTAGTGTCCCCATTGGAAGATTTACCCTCTATTCCTGTTCTGGTGGCAACCTAAAATGGGGGATTTCTTTTTTGTTTTCAGATAAAATA